AAGGGGAGGAGGGAGAGAATGAGAGCAATTAAGAAGAATGAGCAGAAGAGGGAGGAAGAGAAGGAGGGCGTTCAGGAAGATGAGCAAAAAGGAGGGAAGAAGAGATGGAGAATGATGGAGATTACGTGTAAACGGAGAAAGTAAAGAAGGTAGTTTGAGAGAAGAAGAAGAACGATGACTCAGCTCTACATTATCCACTAAAATTTTATGATCTACTCACTCATGACCAGACTAACGAGTGTGTAGAAGACCTGAGACACTAGACGGTGATGGAGGAAAATGATAACATGGAAAAGGAGAGAGAGAGAGAGAGAGAGAGAGAGAGAGAGTAACATCAAAAGGTGTCCCCAACCTATAGGCCTTGACTTGCTGGTGGATCATAGAAGTTGTTATTGGTCTAATTGGCCTACATAATAACGACTGAATGATTACGATAACTGAAGATTATATGTGACGTTTCAACGAGTTTATACGATAATTTCAGGCGAGTGACAATATTTTATTTTATTTATTTTTTTGTTTCATATAGACATGTATACATCCACAAAATACACATTTCAATAGAATTTCTCTTTATGGTACATTTGGAGTGCGTGTAGCTCCTGAGTCCCGACTTATGCCTCTGTTCTGATGCAACACACCGACAGTGAATTGGCTAGCCTCGACAGTCGCTTGCTGATGTATGGAGGGAGAGTCCTTGGATGGATGAGCGTTTGCTAAATTTAAAAACGTGAAAAAATGACTTGTGACTTAAGCTGCATTTTGGCGAGGCAAAGAACCAGAAACAATTTTGATTTGATACGAAATATTTTTATTGGAAACACATTCACACGTGTTGGCGAGACCAAAAATAATAATTTTGATTAGGGAATCAATAACATTTCGACTAACATTGAAAAGAGTCAATATACCTTCGGGAATACTTTGATTCGTGTCAAAACTATTGGGATGCCTTCTGAATATACAAAGATCAGTTGAGTACGCATTATATGTGCACGGTAATGTAATTATAATCAAAGAGTTTTCTTAATTTAATCGGGAATTGCTCCATGACCTGGAACAAGCGTTCACCAGGTACTTCCCTGACGTTAGAGAAGAGAAACTAGTATTGGTGAGATTCTCCCTTGGACCTGATTCGGTTCCTTTCCCAGAGTAAGATGAGTTTTTAAGAGCTGAAAAACGACTCGGATTTCAAGGAGTGTTCTGTGGAAGAATTCTGGGGCCGGAGACTCAATACACCTCGTACAGTATAAGTTACACACTCGGCATCTTGTAACCAACTTACTGTCTTCAAACTTACAATCTGCTAACGATATTGTAAAGACCACATACTCAACACTATTTTGCGATGATTCTAGAGGTATTTTAACTCGAATGTTAACATTGTAGAGTGCTGGGCAGTAAGCCAATCACAGTTACGCTTTTAAAACATACAGACCAATCACATGCTAAGGAAACTAACTGGATTGAGCGCGTGAGATTTAGAAACAAAGGGAGTTTAAGAAGCTGAAACAAATATGTACAGGTTATAATAAAAAAAGATATTATTTTTCACTGAAATAATATGTGAAACCGATTTTCTGCAGTACTTTCTTCTGATAAAACAGCTTTAACGAGGATTATCATAGCTTGGTAAGCAGGTACTGTTTATGAAATCTGGAAATATACACACTATGTCGGGTTTATTCCGTTACTGGAGCCCCGACGGTCCTGTAAGTTACGGCATCCAGATATAATATATGGCCACACACACACACACACACACACACACACACACACACACACACACACACACACACACACACACACACACACACACACACACCACACCGGTATATCATTACTCCAAAATCACATTTCAAAAAATAAGAACATTTGGGCAAATAATAATATCAATTTCCAACGTGTGTATGTGTGTGTGTGTGTATGTGTGTGCACTAAATATGTAAGCACGTGTGTGTTCATATTCATTATGTGACTGTGAGAGGTGTGTGTTTATGATAAAATTCTCTACAAATCCACACTTGGTGTGTGTCCTCATCTCCCCACGCCCACCTTGGCGCGCGCCCGTCAACAGCATAATATTAAAATGTCACCTACACACGCCTCCCCCACCCCCTTCCAAGAAGTGACAAATGTGGAGAGGAAATTCAGGAACAAGTATTCCATTTTCTTTTCATGTTGTAACTGAAAAGGAAAAATATTGATAATAATGAATGACGAAGAGTCCCTTGGGGTGAGTGAAAAGTGACAGCGTAATGGGATACGAACCTGTGAGCTGTGATCATTATCCCCGGTATCACTGTCTAACGTCATCATCATTATCAGTCATCATCAATCATCAACATCATCATCATCATCATCATCATCATCATCATCATCATCTTAATGATCACCATCATCATCAGTAATCATCACCCATCCTCAATAATGAGGATAATAATAATAATAATTATAATAATAATAATAATAATAATAATAATAATAATAATATTAATAATAATAATAAGACTAGTACTAGCAGTATCATTATTATTACCGTTATTTATTATCATCAGTCTTCGTATTATTATTAATAATATGATCATTATTGGCATTAAAATCATCATCGCCGTCATTAACATCTTTATCATCATTATTTTTCCCTCGCCCGAGTCTCCGTTCCAGAGTCGAATTTTTATAATAGTTAGTTGAGTATTATGAAGTCTCCTTGGCGCTAGCTTAAGACATTTTCAATCTACGTCCCTTTTTTTCTTAACCTTACGACATTTTTCGCCTGCGACCTTCTCCAGCACGACGTGGGGGCCGTCAAAAGCCTCAAGCAAGCAGAGGAAAATAACGCGGGTTTTATGGGAAGTTCTTAATGAAATGTTTCCTCCGATAAAAATGGATTAATGTGAGAGGGAGGGAGAGAGGGAGGTAGAGAGGGAGGGAGAGAGGGAGGTAGGGCGGGATGGGAGAGAGAAAGAGGGGGGAAGGGGAAAGGGGTAGAGGTTTGGATGGGAGAGGTAGAAATTGGGGGAGGGGGGATGAGAGAAAAAGGGGGGTGGAATGTGGGAGAGAGAGGGAAGGGGAAGTAAGGGAGAGGGAGGGAGAGAGGGCAGGGGAACGAGAGGAAAGGGGAAAAGGGGGTTTAGTAATAGAAGTGTGTGTGTGTGTGTGTGAAAAAGAGAGAAAGAGAGAAAGTCAACCTCATACCCATAGACACACACAGACTACCTTATGGCAAGCAAGATGTTCTGACCTTTCACTGTGTTCTCACCCTCTGGCCTACAGTACACTCACCTAAGTACATCACCTGGGCCTCAGGTACACACCCGCAGTCAAAAGTCCCCAAATTGGATCTATCACTGACATGTTTTTTTCGTTTGTTGTATATTGTTTGTTTTTCTTTCTTTTTCTTCTCTCTGTCGTAAATTTTTGTTTTACTCTCGTTTCTTTTGCACCTTTTGTGTTTTCTTCTTGTTAGTGTGACATTTCGCTCTATTCTTTTTTTTCTGTTGCATCTATTTTGATTATTTGTTTTAACTATTTCTGTTTTATCTTTCTATTTCGGGGTAATTAGTGGCTGTAATGACCCTTGGAAATTTTAATTACATTTTTCAATGCTAATTTCTCACCAACTATGGGTTTTCAAAGTACGATTTTGGTGTTAATGTGTTATTCTGTAATTAATTAATTAGTTAAACCCCTTAAATGTCAATTCTGTGAAAAAAAGTATATTTTGGGCGAAAAATTACCAAGGGGTAAAGCTTACCTTTTCGACAGTTTTGGCCCAAAAATGGGAAATATCTACTTTCCGGGAAAGTTGGATATCTACTTTCCAGAAAAGTAGATTATCTATTTTTGGGAAAAGTAGATTATCGACTTTTCGGGGAAGTAGATTATCGACTTTTCGGGGAAGTAGATTATCGACTTTTCGGGGAAGTAGATTATATTATCGACGTTTGGGGAAATATTACCTAATTTCCCTTAGTAGATTATCATAGAAAACGGGAAATTTGTATCACAGAAAATAATATGTACTTTCTGGGGAAGTTGGTTATCTACTTATCATAGAAAACGGGAAATTTGTATAATAGAAAATGGGAAATATCTACTTCACGGGAAAGTAGATTATCTACTTTTGGGAAAGTAGATTATCGACTTTTCGGGGAAGTAGATTATTAACTTTTCGAGAAATATTACCTAATTTTTGCGAAGTAGAATTTCATAGAAAACGGGAAATTTGTATCATAAAAAATGGGAAATATCTACTTTCCGGGAAGGTTGGTTATCTACTTTCCCGAAAAGTAGATTATCTACTTTTGGGAAAGTAGATTATCGACTTTTCGGGGAAGTAGGTTATCGACTTTTTGGGAAATATTACTTAATTTTCCAAAGTAGATTATCATAGAAAATGGGAAATATTTACTTTCCGAGAAAGTTGGTTATCTACTTCCCGAAAAGTAGATAATCTACTTTTCGGGAAAGTAGATAACCAACTTTCCCCGAAAGTAGATAATTTCCTATTTTCTATGATACAAATTTCACGTTTTCTATGATAATATACTTCGCAAAATTAGGTAACATTTCCCCAAAAGTCGATAATCTACTTCCTCGAAAAGTCGATAATCTACTTTACCGAAAAGTAGATAATCTATTTTTCGGAAAAGTAGATAACCAACTTTCCCAGAAAGTAGATATTTCCCATTTTTGGGCCAAAACTGTCGAAAAGGTAAGCCTTACCCCTTGGTAATTTTTCGCCCAAAAATACTTTTTTTCACAGAATTGACATTTAAGGGGTTTAACTAATTAAGTACTTACAGAATAACACATTAACACCAAAATTGTACTTTGGAAACCCATAGTTGGCGAGTAATTAGCATTGAAATATATAATTAAATTATCCAAGGGTAATTACAGCCACTAATTACCCCGCAATCGACTTTTTTACAGTGAATTAGGTGTAGGGAAAAACAGAGTTACGTCAATATAAAATATGTAAAAGAAAAGAAAAATCCTCCAAAAACTTTTATTGAACTTAAAACCTATGATAGTATTCTTTACATTAATATAAATAACGAGAATGTTAATAAAATACCCCATGGAGGAGGCATATAAGAGCAACGAAAAGGGACCAACATAGAAAACGGCAACACAAAATTAATTACACAGTATGAACAATAAGGAAATGAATATAATTTGACGAGCAACCTTAAACTGTTATCATCGTTGCTAAATTTTCTCGAGCTCCAATAAATATGCTAAATCACTAACTTAAATATTATAGATGAAGAATAAACTTGGAGGGATTACAGTATATGTTTCTAGCAATGTTTACATCAGTGTTCACATTGCTGGAACATATTAATCCACTGAGGAACATATACTTAAAAAAAATAAAATCCATGGAATCACTGTTGTGGATGTGAGGAAGGGGAGGTGGTGTTGAGACTATAAGTACTGTATATTGAAATAGAAATGTCTTTTTTATCACCGTCTGCTTTATTTCCAAAGTGTATGGACATGATAAAGAGAGTCCTTTTATGTCACATACTGTCTTATATCCAGGTGGAAAGGTCGTCACTTTATACACTGTGGACGAAGGAAGAGAACAAAAGGAAGTGGATGTAGAATATTTAATGTTGTTATTTTAGTTGTTTCCTGTCATCGTCTACACTCTTCTTGCATCAATATTTCCTACCATTTCTTCATCTTTGATCTAGTTCATGAAAAAGCAGAGGAGGAGTAATGGTGATACACAGATAGTTAGGGCTAGCAGCATGTGTCTCAGGTGTAGAGGTGAGTTGAGAGAAGTTCCCTGGATAAACGTTGTATTTGGTCCACCTCATCTGAAGGCATCACCTGTGAGAACTCTATCCAGATGTAAGAGGCGCCTTTAAACCCATAATGTGACAACATGAACAACAGCAGGGCCGCTCCTGTACCTAGAAATAAATAATTTTAAGTTTTAACAAGATGAGGTGACTGGAACTAAACTTACATTTGACATTAAGATATCAGGAAGTTATTTACCCATAAAATGAACGTCTCTGGACTCTGAGGATGGCATTACTCCAGAAGAATAAACGATACTGTTCAACCAGACGTGTTTTAGTTTTCAAGATTTTGTAATGAAGACTTCTGTTTTGTTGGTATGACACCCTCAATGGTAAAAAATAAACCATTTACCAGTTTTTTTATGATAAAGTGTTTTAATATTCTTAATCGGTGTGCTAAGGATACACCACTTTAGTTGATTATTAACCAAAGGGTGCGACTAAAGCTTGCGGTTTACAAAGATGTCTTTAGTCTACCCTACCCTATCCTATCCTACCCTATCCTATCCTATCCTATCCTACCCTACCCTACCCTACCCTACCCTACCCTACCCTACCCTACCCTACCCTACCCTACCCTATCTTTATCTAAAAATACTCAAATACTAAAAAAACTAAATCACCAAGAAAATTTTCATAGTTCACATTCTACAGTATTGGACAAATTGTAGACCGCAGTTTATAGTACAACCAAAGAGAATCTTGCACTGAACGTTGCATCAAAACTATGTGACAGACCCTGATTCCAGTCAAGTACATGTAGTTAAGTTTTCTTATTCTCACCCAGAAAGAGAGCGAGCTGAGAGTACTATGTCACCGGTTGTTGTTTTCTTCTTTCCTTGTGGTTATCAGCATATACCTAGATCACGCGCACCTACAGTGATTTACTTGCATATATATATATATATATATATATATATATATATATATATATATATATATATATATATATATATATATATATATATATATATATATATATATATATATATATGGAGTAATTTTTAAATGTAAGTAAAAAAGTATCTCTACAATAAGAAACAAAATAACACCACGAATGGAGGTTTTTGATGAAGGCTCATAAGGCATACTGTTATTCACTAATCATAATGCAACTAACTAATTTGATATTTTGAATGAAATAACTAAATTATGCCTACCGTAATAGGTAGGAAATGTCTCACAATCACGCCTACCAACCCTAGTGAGACAACAGAGTTGTTCAGTTACAAATTCATCGGACGCCCCTCCTAAGAGATACTTTTTTTCCGAGTGTACATTTAAGGGGAATTTTCTAATTGTGGCTTAAGTGAAATATTTTGTACCTATTTGTTTTATTTTTTTGCCACTGAAGGTGGCGCAACAAGTGGGGGTAACAGTGAGAAAAGCAAATCGAGATTTGGGAATTACAAAGCGTACCTTCGAATACAAAGTCAGGAAAATGTTGCTTCAACTGTACGAATCTCAAGTATGTCCCATACTGGATTACCTCCAGAAAGATTTAAAAATCACAGAAAAGGTGTAACACAGTTCGACTAAGATGATTCTGCAGCTATGTCATCTCGATTATCTAAGTAGACTGGAGAGATCTTAGGACTGAGTCGCTAACGAGCCGATCAGTGGCGAAATGGATTAAAAATAAATAAAAAGTAAACCTTCAGACAAGGCACAATAAGGCAGATATCATTGAAACATTAACGCCCGTATTATTAAACAACATCTTCCCTTGAAGAGGGTCGTCGTGTTTCAACCCGAGTTTTAAACTAAATGAGTCCTGAGGGACACCACAGTACAGTACTTAACGGGGTGGTGTGGCGGTAAACTTAACTAATTCCAATATTATAAATTAATTTTATTGGAATTAGTTAATTTTACAGCCACACCACCCCGTTAAGTACAGCACTGCGGTGTCCCTCAGGACTCATTTCGATTGAAACACGACGACCCTCTTCAAGGGAAGATGTTTTTTAATAATACGGGCGTCAAAGTTCTGAAAGGGATGGAAAACGTGAACCAGGGATAATTCTGTGTGGTGACACACACCACCAACACGATACGACACAACTACAAGCTCACCAAGCAATCATGCAGAACGAATATACGGAAATACTTTTACACGGAGGGTGGTAGACCATTTGGACAGTCTATCACCCCAGGCTGTGGAATCAAGAACAGGACTGGGCTTCAAAGTAGCCCTTGACAAAATTATAAAGAACAATTGAGGGATAAAACATAGGCCATTGGCCTCCTTCCTTCGGCATGGTCACCTCTAGTGGGTAGCTATCAATAAGTAAGATAATATTTGTGAGATACCCAAATTACCGCTGCAACCTAGACTTGAACAGAAAGTTGTATCACTCGACTCACATAAATCTTACAGGATAGACTTACTGGTGAGGTTAATATCTCTGAAACCGACGGCATCCTGAGAGTTGCCCCGTCCCTCCTTGGGCCAAACCCTGACTGCCACATCCGCTGCCCAAGACACGTCGTGGAGGTGGTCAGTGATGCCCGAGCATATGTAAAATCTCAACACATCTCCGCTGAAGGTGAGCATCGGGAAGCTGGAGGCAGGACACCGTTCCTCGTCCTCCAACTGTATCTCTATAATAATAATAACAATAATAATAATAATAATAATAATAATAATAACAATAATAATAATAATAATAACAACAATAATAATAATAATAATAACAATAATAATAATAATAATAATAATAATAATAATAATAATAATAATGTGTGTGTGTGTTGCCGCTTCCTGATATTCATGTTGTTTTTTCTTATAAAGCACCGTCCATTTGGTCTTTAGTCTTAAGCGGTTCAACGGCGAGGATTATGAATCACCCTTCACTAGGCCACAGTTTATACAACAGAAAACATTTAAACCTTTAGAATACATTTACTTTATCCTCTTCGCCACTGATTAGCCTGTACGCCACTTGGGTGTTCGGTCATGCCGCTTTTACGCACTGTTGGCAAGTACTGTACTACTTGCTCTAGAATGAATGTGAACCTACATTATTGTTGGTCAGGTCTGGTCTTGAATGAGCTCACACTCGGTGTCGTCACAACATTCTGTAGCAGATTATTCCAAAATCTCACAATTCGCACTCCCAAAGAAGTTTGCCCAGACAATTTTCTAAGTTTGTGGCTTCTTCAACCTGAGGTTGTGACCCGTAGTGTGGCGGGCGTCCACTAGTTCCTGGTATAAACACTCGACTAAGTAATGGCTTGTGAGGTGCTTATAGACTTCTGTCAAGTCATTAGCTAGGCAACTGCAGTGCGTTCAGTATTATTCTTTTCTTTAACTTATTCTGCTCATCAATGAAAACCCATACTACGTCACTGGACAATATAGTTATTAATACACTGTGAGGGGTAACTTTTTCTGAGTGAGAATTGTGAACTCTTGGACCAATCTGCCAGAGATCGTTGTGACGGCATCCAGTGTAAGCTCTTTCAAGACCAGACTTGACCAACACTGGTGCAGGTTCAGATACATTCAGGAGCCAGTACATGCTCAGTACTTGCCAACAGAGACGTGACCGATCGCCCAAGCGGCTAACGAGCCGATCAGTGGTGAAGAGGATAAAAGTAAAAAAGTAAAAAGGTAAAATAATCTAACAAACTTCTATTCCATTAGAATATAACAGTCCATCGTTTCATCAGTCTCCCTCCCTCATCAATTCACTACTCGCACCCAATGAATAGTTCGCTCGTTCCGTCCCTCTCCTGAGACATTAAGCACAAATGGAAGATGTTTAGTCTCTTGGTCTTCCTCCCTTTACCACAGCTCATCTTAATACTTGGTCCTGCGTCGTCACGAACATTTCCTTCCACGTTCAAAGTCTTCCCATCTCCCCTCTCATGCCATTTGCAAGTATGTTAATTCAACAAACTCATTCCGCCCGTGCAGTACCTTCCCCCAGTGGCTATCATGGCCGCCTTCTCCTCGTTACACCCCTAGTTCATTCATTTATTGCCCCGGAAGAATTCGATTACACGATATGATGGGGTTGAGTGTCGTGGCCGTGTTGGTATGACTGTTTGTGGGTCGGTTTACCTATGCTTTTTTTCGAGATTCTGTCGGTCTGTGGTTCTGTCTATCCTTGAATGACTTCTAAATTTACCAAAACATGTCACCTTTACCTTGACACATTAAGAACGTGTATTATATTCTTGTTTAGTTGTTTTGCATCTTTAACGGAACCTCATGTAGAATCTTCCTCAGATAAAATAATTCATAGTCATTGGCCACTCCTACTACACCTTACGTTGTATGGGGCGCCTCTCCTCTTGACTTTGTGCCAGAATATGACTCTACCCTTAACTTTGCGGACACAAACATACACACACAGGTTGTGATTACAGTGTATTTACCTCCACCCTCCCCACTTTATCGGAATACGAAGGAATGTTTGAACGTTATCTAAAGCCGACTGACAAATTTTGATTAAGTCTGATTAATCGGTTGGATGTTTGTTTTTTGTTTTTGTTTTTGTTTAAGGAAAACTCGCTGGGTTTTAAATAAAGGTTAAAGATGAGAATCACAAGTCAAATTTAGAATTCTGTGCCGGGCTGAGCTTGTCATTCAGTACTTAATCTACCAATCAGTTTCGTTTACTCATATACCAAAAACAACCTCATATTAAACGCCAGGAAGCAACTGAGAGAACTGTGTCTGTCTGTCTGTCTAGGCCTCTAAAAAGTTACTTACCGAGATGGCTGAGGTGCGTGAAGCGTGGCAGGTGTTGGTCTAGAATGTGCAGGGCGGGGGGGCTGACCCTCACCGTCAGGTACACCAGTGTGCGAGGCAGCCACAGGACGCCCCCTGTCCCCAAACATCCTCCAAACCCAGTCAGGCGACACACCTTCCCGGACTTACGTATGTTGGCCTTACACGTCTTCATGAGATAGTCTGAAGCTCCAGAGACACACTTGGTCCAAATGTGTTTCATCAGGTATATCTCCAGCTCGATCTTCTTTTGGCTCATCAGTGCCAAGGCTGATTCTAACTGCGGCACGTCACTTGGGTCAGACTGTATCACAATGTTCACCACATCTGGTACCGTAACACTCAACACGTCCATCAGGGCACCCACGCAGTTCTCTTCCACAATCCACTCTGATCTCTCCGTCTCGTGAGTGAGTACCCTAAGTCTGGCAGTAACGGCCAATATGACCGACCTGTTATTTCTGGCTTCCGTGATATGTCTTAGTAGAGGACTTATGTGGAGGGACCCTTGGGTGGTATCTCCTATATCCACGAGTTCAAGGATTTGCGACGAGTACTTATCCAAGAGTGAACCGTATGAGGTCGCCATGATGCCTGTTATGTGGAGTAAAATATTATACAAATTCAACTTGTACTCAGTCGGACCCGGCTGAATATCTTCCGTTAGTAGTTGGTGAATGATGTTTCCGTTGAAGCGTTCCCCCTTGGCTAGTATCTGTGACACCACGTACTGCCCTCCAGCATACTCTTGGAATCGTAAGTGATGAGGCTTGAGCTTGATGACAATATTCATTCTCTCTTTCGATCTTATCACTGTGTAGTAAGAGGATAAGACCTCCTTACTGGGCAGCACCAGCGATCTACATTTATTTTCCAGTTCTTCTACTGTCTCTTTCCGTAGTTCATATTCACGTCTTAAGAAAGTTCGAAGTGAAAACTCGTTATAAAATTTCAGAAACTCTGAACATTTGTACTCTGCGTCTATAACACCCTTCTGCTGTAACCTGAAGATAAGTTTGCTTGTGATCAAGTTCGAGAATTCTTCGAATAGCTCCGTTGCTGTCATCAAAGCATTGACCGTACTCGGGCACTCCACCCCCAGCAGCACAAGGAGAGTGAGTGTAAGGGGAGAGTTAAGGAGTTCCCCGAGTTCCTGTCGCAGCATCGACAGCTTCTTAACAACCTCTTCTTTCACGTTCAATCTTCTGCTGTCTTGCACCAAGCAGTTGACGTGTTTCTCAATGAAGTCTGCTTGGTGGAGTGGGCCTATTCCGTGCAGGATAAAATTGCTTTTGTGTTTCGTGGATGGCACAAGTATGTTGAGTTCTTCAGTACAATTTGGCCGGGTTGAAATGATCACTCGCAAGTTATTGCCCCGAATGTGTAATATTTCATAAACAAGGTTGTTCGACGCTGGGTTCTTCTCGTCGTAGCCATCAAGTATGACAAGGATTGGCATTTCAAGAATGAGGCACTTCAGATGTTCCACAGTTATGCCAGCTCTTTGACGTGTCTGACTTAGTAGGTTCTCCAGTAGCTGCTCCAGGTTGTTGATGTGTGGGTACCTCATCTCAGTGTACAGTAGCAGTTTGTACTCGGTAAGGCCTAACATATCTGGGTCCTCAAGCATCCATTTCTCGAGGATGTACTTAAGTAAGGTAGTTTTACCTAGTCCTCCGTCACCTGTAAAGATCAATACGTCAGCCAAGTGGTTATCGGACGTTCTGACCTGAAGCAAGCTCTTAATTTGAACATCCTGCCCTGCCCTGCTCTGTCGTTGTGTACCAGTCACCATTACATCTTCTTTCACGATGATTTTCGTATACAGTTGATTGGGTTTGGTATTTCCTTCAGAAATGTGAAGCCATGGAACAATTTCAATAGTGCAGAGAGGATGGTACATGACCAGCAACTCTTCTTTCGCCATCTTCTCGATCTCAGATTTTAGATATGCATTACATTCTTTGATTTCTTGTTGCAGACGAGGAAGATCAGAGGGATCCAGCTTTTCTCTGATTTTCTGGCGCAGTGACATCATCTCTTGTCGTACGTTCCTGGATAGTTGGGCGATATACGGCTGATCCATCCCAGCCAACGCTCCAGTTCTTTCATAAATATCACAGTACAGTGTCTCCAGTTGTGTGAGAACATCCTCCAGTTGCTGTTCAGTCAGGGTGAGGGACTCGTGGGCCAGGAGGTTCCGATGTTGCTTGACGGAATAGAGGTCGTACTCCAGATTCGGACTCTGAGGACTGTGGATGCTCCATACACTCTCGTCCCCCGAGAGTCCACACGTCCTCCTGAGCAGAGCATAACAAAGCGTGATGTCGAACGAATCGACAGGATCGCCATCGTCCAGCTTCTTTCTGAGGTGTTTATCGAATTCTCGCTTGTACTGTGTGGAGGAGAGACCGAGGGTGAGGGTAAGGTAGTCCTTATAAGAGGAGGTGCCTCCCTGATACAGCCACTTAAGTGTGTCAGCCATTACCCTCTGACCCACACCATTCACCGCATGACTGTAGCGTAGTCTGTGCAGCTCTTTCTGAGGCACACCGCCGCTGTTGCTGCTGTTGTTCACCGTCTCGTCCATGTCCTCTGGAGACGTATATACACACCAACATTATCCATAACAGGTAGTCACACCCTCTTGTAAAACCCAGTTCTCTCTCTCAACGTTTTGCAGCACATTTTTCTCCACCTTCGTGTTTGGTCATACAGTACTCTCATGTCCTTAATCTTTCCTTATCACCGGGTCACCAAGAGTGTTTTTTCTTTGTTGAATACTAAAGTCATCTGTTTCTGTGATGCACTTTATCTGAAATAGAATATAAATACTTTAATAAATTCTAAATGATTGATAGGTTCAAAGATATTACAACATTTTTAAAGATCAGAATCACATTGACATATTACACGACCGTTAGCAGAGGCGGGAAAAATATGAAGTTGTTCGCAGTCATATTCCCACCCCTGTTGACGGTCATGTAATATTTCAATGTGATTCTGATCTTTAAAAATGTTGCTTTTGCATAATGTACTATTACTGATACGTAATTTATCTTAGTGTGCCTTATTGTAGGTAAAAATAAGTATATATTAAATACATCCTCCGAAAGCGTAAATTTGCTACCAGAGTTAAACAGTTAATTCATGTATAATACTTCTGATAAACTTCGTACGTGCTTATGTTTGAAATAATGAATGTATGTATATATTTATGCAAGTAAATCACTGTAGGTGCGCGTGATCCAAGCATGTGCTGATAACCACAAGGAAACAAGAAAACACGAAGTTCCCAAGCGCTTTCGTGTAATTCACATCTGCAGGGGTGAGTACAGACTAAGGAGAGATACTTGATAAGGCTAATATATACAGTAGAGGAGAGCGAGATCAGTCCCTAGGGGACCGTAGGTGTCCACAATGGTCCGGTCATAGGGCAGTGACCCTATTAATCTTCATTAGTCTGTACTCACCCCTGAAGATGTGAATTACACGAAAGCGCTTGGGAACTTCGTGTTTTCTTGTTTCCTTGTGGTTATCAGCATATATATATATATATATATATATATATATATATATATATATATATATATATATATATATATATATATATATATATATATATATATATATATTTTTTTTTTTTTTTTTACTTATGAAGACCTTGGAGACGGTCTGTTTTTGTACATTGTGGATGATGAGATTTTTTTTCGATTACTTTTACTTTTATTCTCTTCGCCACTGATCGGCTCGTTAGCCGATAGGGCGGTCGGTTACGTTCCTGTTACGCACTGTACCAAGTATTGGACACGTACCAAGTCCAAGATATATCTGTCCCTGTAACCAGTGTTGGGCAAGTCTGGTTTTGAAAGAGTTAGCACTCGGTGCTGTCACAGCACTCTCTGACAGATTATTCCAAGAGTTTACAATTCTCACTCCTAAAAAGTTTGCCCTCACAATTTTCTGGACATTTGGCTTCTTCAACCTCTAGAGGGGACGCGGGATATTCATCGTAGCCGTTGCCAACACCTCGTCCCTCCCTGACCAAATATCATTCCCCCTAGAGATAGGTCTGGCACTTGACATTATTACAAAAGTACCGGAAACTTGTACTGGGAATTCCCCCCCGCCCTCTCCCACTCCACACTCTCATCATCCTGATAAAACTCATGGCTCGTCAGGCACTTGCGTCCTTAATGCATGAGTTACGAAGGCATGTGGGTCAATTACCTGTGCCCGGGTGGGCTAATCCCCGTACAAAAAAAAATTGAACTCCGCGCTGTAAACGCCTCTGTACGTCGTCTTGCACAGAATACAAATCTAAAATCTGTGAACACACACACAGCAATATACCTACTCTCTTCAAACGCTGTAATTCTAGTTTTTCTTAACCGTTGAGGGTTTTTTTTTTAGTTTAACAAATTTATTGGCAGAGCTTGTAGTACAGTTTGCCTATTCTGAGTAATTCAGTCAGGTCTTGACACTGAGGGTGGTATCACTTCTGACAGCCACGCAGGACAGTTGACGAAACTTAAAAATCCAACACGACCTTCATACAACAGTTCAAGATGCCAGACATTTGTTTTTGTTTTCCATTTTTTACTCAGCACATCGAGGTCTATATGTAGCAGTTACCCGTGAAGAGAAGCACTTCGTTATTCCATGTAAGCTACTAATTACTAAGGCATTCATTTCTAAGTCTAGAAACATAATTAAAGTTTACCAGCAGCAGTAACACTGTATACACTTCACAAGATAAGGAAGGGGAGGAGACTGGCAGTGGGAGCGGAGGCGGCGAGGGACTCCCTGGCAGCAAGAGAGGGATTACCACCCTGGAGAAGTTAAGCGAGATATAAATTTAGCGGACTGGGCGTCACATGCCTTCCACAGACGGATAAATTCGGTACTGACAAAATGCACAGTACATCAGAAGTGATCAGGAATTACAGATCATCAACCACCTGGGGTCGGATACTCAAAAGTATTTACAATATTGTATCTCCCAGATAACTCTGTAAATCGACCATAGAGGTAGTGCAGACCTTCGGAGCTCCAGTAACGGAACGAACCCCGACATACCGTGTATATTCCCAGATTGCATCAACGGCATATTTCTTCCAAGCTGTGATAACCCTCATTAACGCTGTTTTCAATGGAAAATAATATTAAAAGGTAAAATCTAATTATAGAAGAATTATCTTATAAACAGCAGCTGTGTTTATTTGTGTTTTAGCAGGCAAGGTGGAGTTGATCAATGTACATTATATTTAAATGATGAAGTTTGCGACGTGAAAGGAGCGTTAACGCTCATAGGAGCGTTATTGGTTTGTTGCCGGGGAAATAAACCCTCCTTGGGTGGGTGTCGAGGTGTAGCAGCTAGACACTCCTGATTTCTGCGGTTGACAACGTGTGTCTCGCTTATACCTCGTTGTGGCTGTCATCCCTTCACTCGTTTCCAGAAAGGGTTTACCTCATGGTAATGACAGCATCTCACCAAAGTCCTTCGTATCGCCTAAAATCTGAAGTTGCTCCATATGACCTTTCATATTCTGCATCATTGCCGTCAAATGGGTGAGCGTCAGCTGTTAATCCCCCGATTACCGTGGCTGTGTGAGTGACCGGTTAGCATTTCCGTCGTTCAGGGCCTCCGGGTCTTCTATGCTGGTTTCCTCTGCCTTGTTTCCTTCCATGACTGGTGACACAGTGAACTCGATTTGGCTCTTTCGGTGGACAGCTATAGAGACGTTCGGTTAAGCGGGAACGCTCTTCAACTGACACGTCTGCTTGTTTATAAAGATGTCATATAACTGAGGTTATACAAGCGATGTCATACAATTGAAGTAATCTAAGCGGTGTCATACAATCACGACCACAGTGGTGTCACACACGAGTGACGTCCCTCAAACTCGTGACGTGCACTACGCACGAGTGTTGTCACACAAACACGACGACAGTGATGTCATACACGAGCGACGATGTCACACTAACACGCCCACAGTGATGTCACACACACGAGCGACGTCTTCTGAAATGGCTGACACTGGACCACGTTTCTACACACTTCGGGCTGCAGAGCCTTTTCAGAACTTTTAAATCGTTAATTATAATTAGTATTATTATTATTATTTATATAGGATCACACTTTACCATGATTCACAAATTCACACAAAGACGTCTCCGTTCTCTTGCTGCGTAGTTGCGGGGGTGAGTAGGACCAACGTTTTGACTGTTAACGCTCATAGGAGCGTTATTGGTTTGTTGCTGGAGAAATAAACCCTCAACGTTGACGCGTACCATATAATTCGGTCAAAACCTGTCAATGAACAATTCACATATAACAAATGCTGTTATCTCAGGACACATAGTGTGAATAATACAATTAATATACAGTACATAGCCTGTTAACATCTTAAATATAACTCACGTTGATACATCATGAGACAAGTTGTATAATATGATCAAATTACAGTACATAAATATACTTATTAAAGTTATTTAGAGTTTCTTATAAGATTCTAATACTTCACGATCACTCACGTTTTAGGGTCTAATGGTCTGAACCAAAGTGTTGTCTGTCCTGTAGAAATCGGCATACTGCCGTCGGGGGCAATCGCAGCCCGGAGGCGAGGCCATCTGTTTCGTATTGAAACACGTCAACAACACACAACACGTTGTCAGCACTGCCTCTCTCTCTCTCTCTCTCTCTCTCTCTCTCTCTCTCTCTCTCAGTTTATCTTACCGTGCCGGTAACAAGGAGGCAAGGAGGTACCAAGACCCTTTGGACCCTCTTGACATACAGTAAATGATGAACAATTGTTGAGGTTTTATATATTTCCTCAATGTGAAATTTTGTAGCTGGCGATGACTTAACACCTTTTTAGGGTAGGCTGTACCGATTCTTACCCACTTATTATTTTTTGTACCTTTCATAATACTTTTTACTATAAAATATGCCACTAGTTTCTTGAATCCTTTACAGTAGTAGTGTTTATGAATTTTTTTTTATTATACAGTAATAGTTTTGTTTAGTTTGTGGAAAATAGATAAGAAGTTTAAATAAAGTCCTTGGCCTGTTTTTTTTCTTGACAGACATCCTGAAATCAATGAACTTCCAGAATTTCAGCAACATCTCTTGATACTCGAGGGCTAGCCGGCCCCCAGGGTTGTCAGGTTTGGCCTTTAAGGCCATTTTGGCTTTTTCAAAAACTTGTTGACCATAAAACAAAATTAATGCAGGCCATGGGTGGTGCGACTACGGCCTGGGTGGTGTGACTAAGGCATGGGAGGTGTTACTGAGGCATGGGCCAAGGCTTTTGACAGCGTACCCTATGAAAGGCTTAGAATTTAACTGGAAGCATATGGGATTCGGGGCAGTGTTCTAGCGTGGATAAGAGACCCTGCATGACCGCAATCAGTGTGTGGTAATTAGTGGTACGAAATCGTCATGTGTACCCATGACTAGCGGGGTACCACAGGGCAGTGTATGGGGTCCGTTGTAGTTTGTTTGTTTCATAAATAACATGCCGGAAGCTATACACTCATCCATACAAATGTTCGAGGATGATGCCAGGTTATTTAGGGAAATTAAGAAACAAACAGATTGTGAAGAGCTGCAGAAAGATCTTTGTCAGCTTCAAGAGTGGTCGAAGAAATGGCTACTAAAATTCAATGTCACTAAGTATAAGAAGATGCACCTGGGTCATACCAACGGTAAGGAGGTGTATCATATGTCCCAATGGGGCGAAGAAATTGCATTAATGGAGACCGAATCCGAAAAGGACCTGGATGTGATTTTGACAATGAATTGAAATTCTCGGGACATTGTGAAAAGATGAATCAAGCATCTAAACTAGTTGGCCTTATAAGAAGGTCGTTCAGAGTGAGGTGCTTCTCCACCTGCAGTACTGGTCCCAAAGATATGCTAGGGGCTGTCAGTTGATTGAAAATGTCCAACGGAGTGCCACCAGAGTAGTGCCTGCACTAAGGCACCTCAGTTATCCAGAGAGATTCGAGCGCCTACGACTGCCTAGCTTTTATTACAGACGGGCAAGGGGTGACCTACTGTAATTGTGGTGTATAAACATCTCAAAGGGCACAACTCAGTCGGATGTCCATACCTGGAGCTGGCGGACGCCCGCTCCACGAGGGGTCACAGCTCAAAGGCATTTCGTCTTATTAACTCTCCTCCTTTAGTCGATAATCTATCTTCCCTTTCTCTTCGCCGCAATGTTGCTTCACTCTCTCTCTCTTTTACAGGTACTTTAATGGGCAATGTTCGGTGGATTTGGCATCCTATGTACCACTGGCATGACCGTGGGCTCGTAACACTCGTCTTGCCCGCGGTGCCCACCGTTTCTGTGTGGATGTCGATCACACTAGAATAACCCGTTATAGTACATCTTTCTTTCCTCACACAGCCAAACTGTGGAATGGTCTGCCTTCTTCTGTTTTTCCATACTCTTACAATCTGTCTCGCTTCAAAAAGCGAAACACCGAGTGTGAACTCTTTCAAGATCAGACTTGACCAACACTGGAGCATGTTCAGATACATTCAGGTGCCAGTTCATGTCCAGTACTTGCCAACAGTGCATAACAGAGACGCGAGTCACGTGACTGACCACCCAAGCGGCTAACGAGCCAATCAGTGGCGAAGAGGATAAAAGTAAGAAGTAAAAATAAGATTGCTGCCGCCCTTGGGTGTATGCCCTTTGTATTTCGTGATACTGAATCATAACAACCATTCCTCTGACCACTCCTAAAAATGAGAGATCTTTCTGTTGCTCGTCACAGTCCGTTTGTTCTAAATTTCCCTGAATGTCTTGGCATCATCTGCAAACAAATGTATTATATGTTGGGTCCCATTAGCCTAGCTAAGCACAGTAATGTACATATAAATTGTATAAATGTACCGGTCCATATATTGTTAGTATAAAGTCCTCTGTCACTGCGTGGATTTCAATATTATCTGGGGGTGATACCTTTCTTTTTGTAGTGGAATTTAAGAGCATCTGATCCTATACTGTAATTGTTTGAGGCTATTGGCAGTTTTAGAAATAGAGGGAGGCAACTGCTGTATAAATTAAAGTAGTTTGCAACTTGAGATGCATCGTAACGGAGTTCATCATTGATGTTGGATCGTTCTTTTGGTTTGTTGCTATTCAAGGATTTTGTTGCTTCCAAAGCTTTTGGGGGATTATTTTTATTTTTCTCAGTCTTAATGGTTAAGTATTCTTCTTTTGCTCATTTTACATCTCTCTCTACTGCACTTTGTTTCTTAGTCTACAAATTTCATTGTGACATCATCATGTCTCTTTCATTTTACCTTACAGTCAATATATTGTACCTCATAATCCCTGTACCCTAACCAGCTCCTCTCTTGACTAAACTAATAAGAAAACGTTAAACAAAATATATAGTGCTGAAAACTTGGGTTTACAGTACTGTGTAAACCTCATTTTCTAGCATTGTATTACTAAACACTTGAGTTATGCAGAAACAAAGGATTCTTCAAGTGTTAAAGAGTAAAAGGTGTAAAACAAGAAAAGAAATTTACAGATAATTGACTAAAACTGTATAAGTTAGATTTTTACAACTTTTAGGTTAAATATTGTGATATAAAGATGAATTCTTACAAATCTATTCATCTATCATTTCGCCACTTATCAACTAACTAGCCGTTTGAATGGTTGGTCTGTTCTTTGTTGTGACCTTTATTGT